AATGGGGAGAGCGGGAGAGCACAGCTGGCTCTTGCAAAATTAAAATGAAAAAAAATACATTTTTTTTTTTTTCACAGATCTTCAAAGAGCTGTGTGTGTGTGTGTGTGTGTGCATGGTTGTATATGTGTGTGTGAGAGGGTTCAATACTGCATCTGAGAGAGCCGGAGTGAAAGTCAGGACACAATTAACGTGAGAGCTTCTGGTTTAGTGCCAGGGCAGCGTGTGTCTGTGTGAGAGAGTGGACGTGGGAACAGGTGTGTGAGTGGCTGATGTGTTAGAGAGCCGTAAAATGGGTCTTTTCAGCCAGTGTGTGGACGTTTGAGAGTGTATGTGTGTTTGAGGGAGGGTGTGTGCAAACATGACACACTTAAGGGCCTCTTCAGCTCCATTAATTGGTCATTTGACATGAAAGACCTCATACCACCTTTTTCACACGGCTGCTTCCCTGAAGACCAAAAAACCTTCACCCTCAGAAAGGACACACACACATAAACAGCTCAATACCTCTGCTAACATCAACCTGTCTATCATCTCTTGCTCCTTTTAATAGATCGTTTTTTTCATTGTCAGAACCAGTGATGTCATATCCTGCGACCGAGGCAGGAAGTGATGTCAGATATGTTCATATTTCCCTGCACATGAAAGGTTTTCATCACCATAGGTTCAGAAAAAGTATTTTTTATAATGTTTCTTTCTGTAGTTTACCCTAAATTGAACGTTCAACTGATGTATTTACCCTCATGTTGTTCTAAATGCTGCTGCACTGATAAGTCAATAATTATTTGTGTATTATGGCTGATAACTCATAAATTGCAGATATTACAAATCTATATTATTTTGGTGCTTAAACGTTTTTCTGTGGAGGGCCAAAAACCTAACTTGATTGAGGGCCATGGGCTGAAAGTAAATGTTGCATTATCCAACTACTAAAATTTCAATTTTCAAAAATAATTTCAATGTAAAAACAAAAAAAAAGTCAAACAAAGATAAATTAGCAATGAAGATTACTATTATTAGTAGTAATTTTTATTACTAGTTTGAATTAATTTTTATATTTAAATTTGAGCACTTTTGTTGTGTTTTTGTTGATTTTAAAAAAAAAATATGTCTGTTTTCATTAATTTTTGTTTCAATTTTAGTTTTAGTTATTTTAGTACATCAAGTTAACTTAATGAAAAATTTTTCATTGGCAGCTATAGCTGAAATAATTTTTGT